TCTATTCTTCTCCCTGAAGGGATCTGCATGTCGTTTTTTGAGACTGGCTTTGACACAGAGGCTGTTGACAGGCGCAAGGATGGCACTAAAGACTACGGCATCTTCCATATCAACAATGGCTGGTGGTGTAAAGATGAAGGTACCCTTTCAGAGAACCTTTGCTCCATGTCTTGTGCAGGTGAGTTCCTTCCTGCCTGCCTCCGCCACAAGTGGCACTGTGCCGGAGGGGCCAGGCAAAATGGTGGGGTGCTGCAGAAAATGGAACAGCTTGCTAAATGCTATGTTAGAGGTGTGGAACCTGGTGCTGTCCAGATGTTGTTCAAGCTACCACCAGCCCCAACCCAACACGGCCAATGGTGAGGGATGATTGAAGCAAAAACTTGGAGGGTCACAGCCTTCCAGGCCTTGGAATACATACTTGGAACAGGGCAGCCCTGTTCAGGGAAGTTTTTAACGTGTGATATTTTACTGTATTTGTGGTTTTTATGGAAGCCGCCCAGAGTGGCTGGGGAGGCCCAGCCAGATGGGCGGGGTATAAATAATAAATTATTATTATTATTATACTACTGGCCTTTCCTGACATTTTTGTTTTATATTTTCAAATTAAAACAGAGCTTGATTTAACAGCATAATACCTCTTAGGTTAGTAAGCATATTTTTAGTCTTGTCAGTAATAACACATTGCTGAATTCATATTTTTATGTTAAAATGTTGATCCCTCCAAACACAACAATGCAGCTCAAAAATATACCAAATTACGTAATTTTCTTATATTTAAAATGCTAATACATTGAAACATAATCATCCAGCTCTAAAATGCAGGCAGAATATGATCTCTTTTTTTTTAAAGGATATCTTACTCTTGTTCAGAATGTTAGTAAGCCATTTCATAAGAGTTCATAGGCTGCAAAAGACTGGCAGCTGGTTCAAGGATAATGCAGGAGTAAATGCTGAGCTTTTCCTATTCCACCTCCAAAAACCCCGACTATTTGGTTTGTATTCAAGTGTTTTTACATTGGAACTAGTCAAACTGTCCTGTCCCTAATTTTTGCATGCAGACTGTAAGGTTTGCCATTTCAGCAATTACATCCATCAACAATTTTCTTGTTCAGGTAAGGAAGGTACCGGTATGTTACAACAGCACCACCTGCTGGCTGCTAATACCTTAGCAACTGATCAAGTGCCTAATATTTTGTAATGTGCTTTCAAGCGCTCATTACAAGTGATTCATAATCTACCGTAATTGCAATACCTAACAACAATCCTTAAAGTACTAAAATGTTGGCAGATTTTCACAAGGATGATGGTGGTGGTGGTGATGATGATTGCATAATGTTGTGGAAATGTGGAGAACTGAATTTAAGCTTGGAAAAATGAGACACTTGGAAAACTGACAGATTTGTCCATCTTTAGTAGCAAAGCATTTTAGCCATTGTGATGGAACTGGGCAAAGTGTCCTGTCCCTGATTTTTACATCCACACAGTCAGCTTTGCTGTTTCAGCAATTTTATGTAAAAGCAGCTTCCCCATTCAGATAGAATAAAGGTAAAGGGACCCCTGACCATTAAGTCCAGTCACGGATGACTCTGGGGTTGTGGCCCTCATCTCGCTTTACTGGTCAAGGGAGCCAACATTTGTCTGCAGACAGTTTTTCTGGGTCATGTGCTCAGCATGACTAAGCCACTTCTGGTGAACCAAAGCAGTGGAGCGGTACTTATTTATCTACTTGCACTGGGTATTGCCATTCAAATGGTGTGCATGTGTTGCATCATGTGATCGGTTATGCAGGGCAGAGTTTACCAGGGCCCCCCAATATTTTATTCAAGTTGGCACCCCTGACCCCCACCCTTGTTGATGAGAGGAATGGGGGGAGAGTAAGTGGGCTGCTTCCATTCCTGCTACATGGGGGTTGCTAAAGGATGTCGTTAGAGGTGGCGATCCTAGGGAGATTTGATTCTGCAATTAGCCTTAAGCTTGTCTTTTAGTTTATTCTAACCCTGTGATAATAATTGCCGACTTTCCCTTCCATTCATACATTTTCATTCTCTTTTCTAGATTTATTGAATACTGATATTCACGATGATATCTTATGTGTCAAGAGGATTGTGAAAGATCCCCAAGGCATGGGGACCTGGTATGAGAGCATCTTCTGTTTTCCCCCACCTAGATGAATGCCCTCTAGGGGCTAACTCTGCAAACACCTCCCTCACCTGGTTGTTCCAGCGTTACCAAAACCAATCTGCTCTCTCTGTAGCTGTATTTCTCTTTCCTGCTGAAATAGTCTTGACAGACACCCCCCACTGCTTTTTATAACAACCTTACATGCTGGTCTCAAGCAGGTGGCATTTCTGCTATCAGTTTATGACAGGAACATCTTCTCCCTGGCCTTAATTTATGTGTGCCAGGCTGCTGTTAAAGGCACAGAAGCCAGGCCTGCTTTGGTTTATTTTTAACTAAAAAATCCAAGTCAGACATGGGGGTCCTGTGTGCCTCTAAAAGCTGCTGGGACACTAACTCCCATAATCCTGGCCATTGGTCTTTCTGGCTGGGATTGATGGGATCCAGAGTCCAACAGCATTGGTTCCCCTGCTTGATCTAATTGTCATATTTCAGTGCTGGATCAGTCATTTGGCTTCAAACAAGCTGGATCTCTAATGCAGTGTTTCCCAACCTTTTTTGGGCAAAGGCACACTTGTTTCATGAAAAAAATCTCGAGGCACACCACCATTACAGCCCCGTGATGTCAGCGCACAGCGTCACGCCGGGAGGGACATGAATTGCTAGCAAATTACATAATCACCTCCTTGAGGGCTGGCTCATCTTCTCCGAAGGCAGAACCCCATTAATTAACAGCACAGACTCACACCATAGCCAAGACGAGGGGGAAAAACCTCAGTCATGCACAGTCATGCACATGTGGGGGCTAAATGAGGACGAAGACCGGGCAGAGAGCAGGGTTCAAATCACCCCACCTGGCCAGGACAATCCCTGGGTGCTCCCTTGGGCCACTCGCCTGACCCACCTCGCAGGGCTGTTGTTGCGAGGATAACACGGGGAGAACCACGCGCGCCCCCGGGAGCTCCTTGGAGGAGAAAGCGGGCAATGAATGCAATGCACGAAATATATGAGAGGCGACCAGGTTTTGCAGGTGAGGGGCCCCCGCCAGCCTCCGCTTCCAACACCCGGCGCAACGATGCCGAAGTTTTCCCCTGGGCTCGGCTCGGGGAGCAGCGCTGCTCCCCCCCAGCTCCCCTTCGCCCTCCCGGCTCTCTCTGCCGCCCACTGGGGACCCCCCTCACCTGCCAAGTCCGGAGCGCCGGTGGAAGTTGCATGCATGCATGCAGGGCGCCGCGTTGCCATTGCATTGCACTGCACTCCACGCAACGCCTGCACGCATGCATTGCCTTGCACGCCCGCCAAGGGGTCTCCCCGTGGTCCGATGCGTCCCCTCCAGCGCGGATGCAGCATTGCAAAAATAAAAAACCCCCGACGCAGCCCTACCTGGGGGGCAGCCTCCGCCTCCGCCGCTCCGCCTCCGCGGGGATCCCCGGGCTCCATCCTGCCGCCCGATCTCCGGGGGGCGCAGGCAGGCTGCGCGGGGTCTGCGCGGAAGAGCCCCTGCCTGCCCGGCCGCCGCCGCCGCGCTCATTCCATGGCCGGGAGAAGAGCGCTTCAAACAAAACGCCCGGCCCGCCAGGCCACGCTGGGAAACGTAGTTCGCGCACCCCGCGTGGGCGCGGAGCCCAAGGGCGAGGGGACTACGGATCCCGGCAGCCCCCGCGCCGGGGACGGAGGGGGAGAGGCCGGGTGCAGGGATGGAGGGACGGGTGGGCGAGCGAGTGAGTGAGTGGCAGCCGCCAAGCCTTGGCCGAGAGCCAGGAAGGCCTCCCCGGAGGAGGAGGAGGAGGAGGGAGGCGCAGAGCGGGAGGGAGGGAGGGAACCCCAGGGGTCATCTAGTGACGGCGCCCCAATCGAAAATTTGACTTTTTTTAAAAAAAAATCTTTCAATTTTTTAATTTTTCCCGCGGCACACCAGGCAACATCTCGCGGCACACTAGTGTGCCGCGGAACAGTGGTTGGGAAACACTGCTCTAATGGAGTAAAGAAGCTCACTTTCTGTTTTCCTGCTTGCTGCCTAAGTCAGAGGCATCCAAGGAAAACAGTAGAGTTGCCAAGTCTTATCACCCCCGCGAGTGCCTTTCACAACCTGGAAACAGGCAGGAATCCATAGCTGAAGCTTTCTCTATCACTGAATTGCCGTTCCAGAAAAACCCACAGCTGCTGATTTCTAACTTACTACACAGAAGCTAAAGGCACAGGGTCCCTGGCAGAAAAAAGTTGGTAACCATGCCATAGAGATGCAGGTGGTTAACCAAAGATGGGACTCCTTAACACATGCAGGAATTCTTGTGTACTTGAGAGGTTTGGTTGCATTTATTTGTGCAATATTTTCAACACATAGAGAACAAAACATAAGACAAATAGTGCAGATCGCTGTCCTGAGGAATTACAAGCTAAAATGCCACTGGCGTGAGGATGTCATGTTAGCACAAACCCAACTTAATGGGGGAAGCTTTCTTACTTGGATGTTAAAGAGAACAGGGCAAACCACAGAAAATTTCTGAATAGCTGTGTAGGTGAAATTTGGCAGGTATTGTTATGCAGTGACAAAAGAAGCTTCACTTGCCAAAGTTATCACCTGTTCATAACTGTTAAATGCCCAGGACTCTTGCTCTAATTTGCACCTGATAATTCCAGTGTATCCTGAGATTACCCTTGTGCACTGAGCAGTAGGTGGAAGCCAGGAGCAATCAGTGTATATGGCACGTTATGAATTAATGGTGCAGTCCAAGATCCATTATAAAAATCACCAAACGGCCTTGCTGGGGTGTGTGTGTGCGTGTGCGCGCGCACCTGCCACCAGTTCCTATGAATGTTTACTCAGAAAGTAATGTTTACCCAGTCAGTCCAACACTACTTACCTCTTAGTAAGTGTGCTTTGCTGGAATTGCATCTAGAATTCTCTTGAATTTAGTGGCTTGAACCATGCTTAATTCCATGATGGATTATGGTTTAATCCTTTTGTTCTGCAACTGCATTGTAGTTTGAGAAAATGCTATGATCCCTATGCATGAAAAATTGTCCTTAGGAATAGCCGTTGTGGTAACAGACTTCCCCTTTCTCCAATTTGCCTTCTGCAGGAAGGAGTGGAAAAAGCACTGTGAAAAGCAAGACCTGCGTGAGTGGGTGAAGGGGTGTAATCCCTGAAAACCTGTCTACCTTCTGTTTGCCATCTCTCATGTCATCAATACAGAGTTGTTTGGGTTTTTTTTCTTGTAAAATGCTTCTTATATCTGTTATTTCCCTGGATGGTAAAAAGAATTCCAAATATGAAACGAAGAAGCAATTTATGCTGTGTACACACCATACACACAAAGACACACCCCCCCCAATCCTAGGAACTGTAATTAAAGGAGCTGGGAGTCATAGCTCTCAAACCACAGTTCCCAGGATTCTTGGTGGGAAGTTATGGTGCTTTAAATGTATGAAATACACGCATCTTTAATTACTTTGCATCCGTGGCGTCTACACTGGTCCCCTACCCATCTCTGATGCAGATAAGGGCATTTGGAATCTCCCCATTTGTGGAATGCTCTCCCCAGGAAGGTTTGGCTGTCACCTTCATTATACACCTTTAGGTGCCAGGCAAAAAAGTTCCTCTTTAACCAGGCCTTCAGCTGATTGGCATCCGATGGCCTTTTAAAATGTGTTGGGGAGGGTGGGGATTATTGAGTTGTTCTTGTTTTTATTTGTATTACGTATTTTGTGTTTTTATATTGTGTTTTTTTGTTGTCCTGAGCTGTCCTGAGACCTGTGACTATAGGGCAATATACTAATACTAATAATAGGGGAGGCACAAACTATACACATATGTGTGCAGGATTCTTCCTAGTGTTGCCAACTGAAGGTGGAGGGTGGTGAGGGTAGCCCTCAAGACAGCTTGGCTTACACATGTTCTCGAAACAGTTCCCTGCAGGTTTGACCCAAGGTATTTTTCTCCCTCAGGTGGACACGATGGTGAGGTTCTGTACACAGCAGCGGAAATGATTGTGTGGGTGGGTTGTGCCCGTTCAAGGTTCAACCAATAATGGAGGTTAGATATACACAGTAGGGATGTGAAGGTGGCTTTATTGTGAAACCAAAAAGGAGGAGCAGAGCTGCCCCTCTGGTCTAGCTTTGAGGGATGAAGGAGGAGATGGGAGGGGTGCTGCTGATCTCGGCAGCCCTTTACTTTCCCTGGCACTGCTCCAGGCTCCGCTCCGCTCTGGTTCCGGAGGCGATGTGGTACGTGGAGCACTTGACGGAGATGTCAGAGGTCAGGCGGCTGCGAGGGATGCTCAGGATGCTGCTGGCGCTGTAGGAGCCATCCTCGTTCAAGACCACCGGCCCAGCAGTCACCCCCTCTGATATGTTGACTCCAGCCTCACTCCACTTGATCTCTAGGAACCCTGGGTAGAATTTCTCGGCGATGCACAAGGCGTGGATGGTGGGCGAGTCCGCTGTCTGGTAAGCATCAGACAGGAGGGTGACTGAAGCCGGTTCCTTTGCTGATTTGCCTGGGAAAGAGACACCATGAGTGGGTCACAGAATCCAAGTGACCTGATTATTTTTGGGTGGTGCTGCTGAACGGGGGTTTCCAAGCAAAGTTAACTGAGAATCCCCAGCAGTACTTAACAGAGCCCACACACAAAAATGCCACCCTGGATAACTTAATGCGTCATTTGGGCCCCAGAGGCATGGGCTGGAGTTGATGATTTTCTTGTGGAGATTGCGCAAGCATTTCTGTGGTTTAGCTCCTCTTCCACTCTGAGGGCTTATCCACATTTGCCTTTCCTCCATACTTTTCAGGCGTGATCCCAGCACTTTTTTTTTTGGTCTGGAGTTTTCCACACCAAAACCCGCTCTTTAAAGCAGAATTGGAGCAAATGGCAATTGCCGTTGGCTGTGCTTCACCTTTAAAGAGCAGGTTTTCATGGGGAATGCTCCAGGGCATTAAAAAAGCCAAACAAACAAACAAATGCTCAGATGTAGAGCTTTAAAGCACAGACCTGTGCTTAGAAAGAGTGGGACAAAAGGTAAATTTGCTTAAGCGCTCATTCTATTTTCTGACACCTTCCCCCCACCCAGCGCCCCAAATCTGTTTTTCAGGTGAACAAGCAAGGCATCGTTGCAGACTATGTGTACATGGAGTCTGCTGCTGTGGAGAAAGGGCATTAGAGGACAAAAAGAATAGGGCAGAGTTGTGGAACTTTCAGCCCTCCAAATGTTGTTGGACTTGCTTCTCCTGTCATCCCAGCCAGTGTAGCCATTGACCAGGGATGATGGGAGCTGGAGTCTGCCTATATGAAGCAAAGTGCTAAGTAAGTTTCCTGTTGACGCAAAGATTTCAGCTTGTGCAACAGGACTCCCCCTTATGCCCCTGCTTAAATCTGCTCTGGGTTCCCCCACAACTCTCCAGAGCAGATTTGAGGAGTGCAGGCGGGTGAGAAGAGGCAGGGGGGAAGTTCTGCTGCACAAGTGGAAATCCTTGCAATACTGGAATGCATAAGTTGGATCCCACTTTTCTGATATCACTTTTCTGAGTGTTCGTATTAAGCAGTTCACCTTACAATAACCCTATAAGGTCACTAGTGCTATTATTCCTACACTGCAAGCATGAATCTGAGCCGTAGCAGCTTGCCTAAGGCTACTTTGTGAATTCATGCCCGAAGCGAGACCTGAGCTGGGAATTTCCTAGGGCACACTTCATAACTTCCATGCTACACAAGCCCCTTGCATGCTTCCCATAGTACATTGGGCTCCCTGTGCCCAAGTGCTCCACTCTTAAACCAGGGTATTCTCACTCACCTCCTGTGACACTGAGCTGTGTTCCACTCCCTGAGACAGCGGTGTTGAAATAATTTGCCTCTGCCAGGCAGTAATAGGTGGCGCTGTCCTCCGTGCGTGCCTTCCGAATCTGCAACGTGTAGGTGTTGGCATCCCGGATGGCCGCAAAACGCTCATCAAATTCAGGAGCACGCTCTACCTTGCCATCAATGTGATGCTTCAGTATAAAGACCGGGCCTTTTCCTGGCTTTTGCAGGAACCAGAAGGCATGGTACTCCTGGATATTGCCCCTCTCCAGAGGGCACGGCAGGATAGCAGTGGTCCCCTCTGCGAAGGAGGCCTGTGGTGGCTGGGCGGGCAGAGGCTGCAGCGCTCCACCTGCGAGGAGGGAAGTAGGTGGCTGCTGTGAAGCTAAAATTTCAGCCTGATAATGGGAGTGAACTGTCTGACACATGCTAGTTACACATATGCATATGTGTGTCCTATACATAGAGTAAATGGGGTAGAAAATAAAGAAAAGGGGGGATTCTTATTTTGAGAAAATGTTAACAGTAACAAAAAAACAAAACCTTGGTTGTAAATCACAGGATATTTCCCTCTTGAGAAGTGTGCTGCCCCACCTTTTTCTTGAGATCAAGAAAGAGAGCCCTGCTCCTGCAAGTGAAAGGGAGGCACAATGGGCTGTGGGCTCAAGCAGAGCCTTTTGGGTAGCTGCCCCAAAGTTGTGGAATGAACTCCGGCAAGATGTGTGCCAGCATATCTGTATTTTAGTTGCGAGAGAGCCATGTTGAGTCCACCTTTGAAAGATGGTCTTTAAGGACTAGTGATCCAGTGACTTACTCTGTCTTTTGCTGTATTACATTGGTTTTTATATGTGAGGGTGTTTTTTTTTTAAAAAAAAGTATTAATGTGAAATTTTCTGCTATTAAAAGATATTTTATGGTTTTGTAGACTGACTTCAGTATATAATAGGTGGATAACAATATCAAAAAAGCAATCGAGACATTCTTTTATTGTTAGCCTGCAGGAGGGCTTTGCCGTTTTTAACCTAATAATTTCTAGCACCTAAGTAGTTTAGGAAGGGGTTAATTAATAATCAACGTAATCCAACACTGACTCTGAAACACATCTCAAAAGAGCTGAGAGTTGGGTCAATTGCACACTATGGCAGCATATAAGTTGGTTCACCGAAACAGGTTGAATTCAGAAATCTCAACTATATATAAAAAAGAAAAAAATTATAATGGGGCAGTAACTCTGTGAATATAATGGGACAAATTAAATTTCATGCTGTATTGATTGTTCTGTCAGTGCAAGCCAATTTCAGGGGCACAGGGCAGAGGTAGATTTAGGGGAGCACAACCAGTTTGTCCACACTGGGCACTGAGCCAAGAGCGTTCTGTAGGGGATGCCGCAAAAATGACTAAAAATAGAAGGCGAGAGGCAGTGAGGGGCACTGAATTTTGGTGTCACATAGAGTGCCACTGAAATGAGAAAGCCCGGTCCACCACTTCATAGTGGCACACAGAGAGCGGCGAGGGGTGGAACCCGCAAAAAGAGATCCTTATGAAGGGTTCTACTAATGTGAGTAGAATCCTGCCCAGTGCACCCATCCTGCCATTTTCAACTCTCCTTGAAAACAGTTGCCTTTCCCCATAAAATAGCCTTTAAAGCTTTTATGCAGATTGTAACTAATGTGGCACTTAGTTCCATCCCAGTGTTTCAAGCTGAAGCATAGCTGTCACTAATATTTTAGCTGGAAGGATCTCTGCTTGGGAGTTTCACATATCCCCATTTCAGCACTTTAGCAGGAGCATGGAGAGCAGAACCTGAAATCTGCAGTCGTAGGTTGTTTTCTGCCTTTGCGCATCATTCACCACTGAGACCTTCGCAGAGTCCACCGTTCCCCATCTCCACATCCACTTTACGGTTTGCAAAATCAGCAGAGCACAAATACAAGGCTTGGAAAGAATGATTCCATACAATCACAGTAAGAACTAGTCCCTTTATGTGTCTTATATTTAAAATGTTAATTACCTAAATGCTGAAATGTGCCAAGTTAAACAGCATGTGGGTGGGGCTCTGATGGCACACCTGCTGAAGAATTTTGAAAGTCTGCACCCCCTTGTATTTAGTGTATTTCGCTTACGGAGCCAGCATTTAAAAAATGGGCCAGTTTGTCCATTTCAGTTCTGCTGAGTTGTAAACTTTTCTAGTCTTAAGTTCAGTTTTCCATATCATTTTGTTATTTTTAAAAAATTTTAAACCCTCATCTACATGTTATTGTGAATTTCTCCTAGTATACACATATTTTTATCCAAATTTTGCCAATGCACACATTTTGCAGAGCAAATTCCTATACATTATAGAATATGATATATATTTGCACATGTTATTGTCACTGATATATGCATTTTTTATGCACACTCTGCCCTAGAGTGTTCATTTCTATACACATCACTTGGCAGCACAACTACACTGCGCAAATCGAAGAAGTGTGC